GATCGACAACTGTGCCAAACATGAACTCCAATCCTTTGTGGATTGCTTCGCAGAGTACCATCAGATCTGGATGGATGAGGAGGATGCTGAAAAGATAGCCTTCATCACGCCATTGGGAATATATTGTTATAAAACGATGCCATTTGGTCGGAAGAACGCCGGAGCCACCTACATGAGAGCCATGACAACTATTTTCCACTACATATACACAAAGAGATAGAAGTGTACGTGGATGATGTTATCATGAAATCCAAAAGTATAATCTGAAACTGAATCCTGCAAAGTGTGCTTTCGGAGTCCCTGCCGGAAAATTGTTAGGATTCATCGTCAGTCGCAGAGGAATTGAGTTAGACCCATCAAAAGTCAAAGCAATCCAAGACTTTCCACCTCCGTAGAATAAGAAAGATATGATGAGCTTTTTAGGGCATCTTAATTACATTAGTCACTTCATAGCACAATCAACTGTGATATGTGAGGAAAGATGCTGCAACAAGTTGGACTGAAGAATGCGAGAAAGCCTTCGACAAAATCAAGGAGTATTTATCCTAACTGCCCGTTCTGGTCCCACCAGAGCCAGGAAGACCACTGCTGCTTTATTTGTCTCTACTGGATGGAGCTTTCGGTTGCATTTTGGGACAACATGATGAAACTGTAAGAAATGAGCAGGCAATATACTATCAGAGCAAGAAATTCGCACCCTACGAAGCCCGGTACACTTTGCTGGAACGCACCTGCTGTGCTTTAACATGGATAGCTCAGAAGTTGAGGCATTATTTCTTTGCATACACTACATATCTCACATCAAGGATGGATCTACTGAAATATATCTTTCAGAAGCCCATGCCTACGGGTAAGTTAGTAAAGTGGCAAATATTGCTGAGCGAGTTTGACATCGTCTATGTAACCTAGAAGGCGGTCAAAGGACAAGAATTGACAGATCATCTGGCAGAAAATCCCGTAGACGGAGAATACGAACCATTGAAAATGTATTTTCTTGACGAGGAGGTGTCATTTGTGGGAGAAGATATCACCGAAGCATATGATGATTGGAGAATGTTCTTCGACGGAGCAACAAACTTCAAAGGAGTAGGTATTGGAGTTGTCTTGGTATCAGAGACCGGCCTACACTATCCAATATCCACAAAACTCACGTTTCCATGCACCAACAATATGGCGGAGTATGAGGCCTGCATTTTGGGACTCCGGTTGGCCATTGACATGAACGTTGAAGAGTTGCTGGTAATCAGAGATTCAGGCCTTTTGGTTCACCAGGTTCTAGGAGAATGGTCCACAAAGAACACCAAAATATTGCCATATTTGCATTGTGTACAAGAGCTGATCAAAAGGTTCACAAAGATAGAATTCAAATATGTTCCGAGAGTTCAAAATGAGTTCGCAGATGCATTGGCCACTCTATCCTCTTTGCTACAACACCCAGACAAGAACTTCATCGATCCTGTCCTAATAGGAATTCATAAACACCCAGCTTATTGTGCTCATGTTGAAGAAAAGAGCGATGGAAATCAGTGGTTCCACGACATCAAGGAATATTTGGCAAAAAGAGAATATCCAGAGCACTCTACCCATACTCAGAAGCGCATGCTTCGAAGATTAGCAAACCATTTCTTTCAAAGCGGAGGAATTTTGTATAGAAGAACTCCTGACTTGGGGTTACTAGTCGATGCCAAGGAAGCATCCAGATTGCTCGAGGAAATACATGCCGGAACTTGCGGACCGCATATGAATGACTTCGTCTTAGCCAAGAAAATACTAAGAGCAGGGTATTTATGGATGACTATGGAAACAGACTGCATCAAGTATGTTCAGAAATGTCACCAATGCCAGATACATACTGATATGATACGAGTGCCACCCAATGAACTCAATGCAACAAGTGCACCCTGGCCTTTCTCCGCTTGGGGCATGGATGTCATCGGTCCAATCAAACCCGCTGCTTCAAATGGGCATAGGTTCATTCTAGTGGCCATAGATTATTTCACAAAATGGGTCGAAGCCGCATCTTACAAAGCTATAACTAAGAAGGTCGTCGCAGATTTTATTTGGGATCGCATTGTTTGTCTGTTCGGAATGCCAGAGTCAATCATCACCGACAATTCCACCAATCTCAACAGTGACCTTATGAAGGCCATGTGTGAAACTTTCAAGATCACGCATAAGAATTCCACGGCATACATGCCGCAAATGAATGGAGTTGTAGAGGCCTCCAACAAGAACATCAAGATGATACTAAGGAAAATGGTAGATAATTACAAGCAATGGCACGAGAAGTTACCATTTGCTCTGCTCGGGTATCATACCACGGTTCGCACATCAACTGGGGAGCCTTATTACCTATTGGTTTATGGCACTGAAGTAGTTATTCCTACCGAAGTAGAATCCCTTCTTTGAGAATTATATAAGAAGCGGAGCTCAACGATGCAGAATAGGTACAGAGCCACTATGAACAACTGGCTCTCATTGATGGAAAGAGAATGAATGCAATATGTCATGGTCAACTCTACCATAACAGAATGGAAAGATCTTTCAACAAAAAGGCCAGACCAAGGCAATTCACACCGGGGCAGTTGGTGCTAAAGAGGATCTTCCCACATCAGGATGAAGCCAAGGGGAAGTTCTCACCCAACTGGCAAGGTCCCTACGTGGTTCATCAAATATTAACAGGAGGAGCACTCATACTTGCAGAAATGGACGGAGAGATTTGGCCAAAACCTATCAACTCAGATGCAGTCAAGAGATACTATGTTTAGGATTGTTTACATTTCTTCACTTGATGGAATTGAACTACGCTTGACCTGATTTCCATTTAAGAGGGGATACGTGGGTAGCCCTATGGGTTCGGTCACGTCTTAATAAAATCTTAATTTTCCCATGAAAAAAAATTGGGACAGGATTGCAAGTTCAGCCAACTTCGTTATATGTGGAACAACCAAAAGTATTGCATTTAAACTAGGGGTTGCAATGTCCCTGAAATGTGTCACAGTCACCGGTTCATCTAAATTATTTGATATCACATACTACATTCAAATAATTATATTTTCGCAAATAATTTGTCAAATGCACGCATATGTTTTCGAAAACTTTATTTCTATGACAGCCAGACGTTACCCAAGGTAACTCAAACAGGATCTCGAGATAGGAGTAAAGGCGAAGCAAGGAATCAAGAGCACGAACCAACTGTCCCCCGCAAAATTCACAATTTTCCTTTGAATGCAGGTATGATAGACACAATAGTAATATTCGCAAATACATACGCACAACAAAATCACTATATCCATGACGACAAGTTGCTAAACGCAAACACATCAAGCTAAGAAATACTTTACTCTCTCGTAACTGATCATTGTTTTTCTTGCGTAAGACTAAGCACTGCCTTTCCCTGCATGAGACTGAGCATTGTCTCCATTTCTTACATGAGGCTAAGTATTGCCTCCGTAATTGCACAAGGCTAAGCATTACCTTTCCATGCATGAGACTAAGTATTGTCTCCATTTTTTGCATGAGGCTAAGCATTGCCTCCGTAATTGCTTAAGGCTAAGCGTTGCCTTTCCCAACATGAGACTAAGCATTGTCTCCATTTATTGCATGAGGCTAAGCATTGCCTCCGTAATTGCATAAGGCTTTGCCTTTCCCTGCATGCGACTAAGCATTGTCTCCATTTCTTGCATGAGGCTAAGCATTACCTCCGTAGTTGCATAAGGCTAAGCATTGCCTCCGTAGTTGCATAAGGCTAAGCACTGCCTTTCTTTGAATGAGACTAAGCATTGTCTCCATTTCTTGCATGTGGTTAAGCATTGCCTCCGTAATTGCATAAGGCTAAGCACTGCCTTTTTCTGTATGAGCCTAAGAATTGTCTCCATTTCTTGTATGAGACGAAACATCATCTCCTCTTCTTGCATGAGGCTAAGCACTGCCTCCCTAATTGCATAAGGCTAAGCACTGCCTTTTTCTGTATGAGCCTAAGAATTGTCTCCATTTCTTGTATGAGACGAAACATCATCTCCTCTTCTTGCATGAGGCTAAGCACTGCCTCCCTAATTGCATAATGCTAAGCACTGCCTTTCCCTGCATGAGACTAAGCATTGTCTCCTCTTCTTGCATGAGGCTAAGCATTGCCTCCCCTTTCCCTGCATGAGACTAGGCGTTGTCTCATTTTCTTGTATAAGCCTAAGCACTGCCTCCCTAATTGCATAAGGCTAAGCATTGCCTTTCCTTGCGCGAGACTAAACATTATCTCCACTATGCTACCTAAGACCTAGCACTATCTCTTTGGTCACCTATGGCTAAGCGCCGCCCTCATCTCATACAAGACTAAGTCTTGTCTTGTCTCGTCCTCGCATATGACCAGGCATCATATCCTTGCATTTCATGGGCTGAAACATCGCCATTTTGTCCAAAAGCGTCATAGTACGAAGGCATCACCCTCATAGCTGGGAGACACCATTCCATGGCATGAGGATCTCTCAAAATTGCACATCATTATTCAAAGGCGTCATAGTCTAGAGGCACCATCCTCATGGCCCGAGGACACCATTTCATGGCCTGCGAATCCCTTATCATACTCTTCATGGCCCAGGGAGTCATGGTCTAAGGACATCATCCTCACCGTCTAAAGACAACCTTCATGGTCCAAAGAGAATTTGCATCACGTTTAAACTTTCGCAATAACCCATATGTATATTCGCACGCACCATGTTTTAAGTTTTGCAGGTAACACTACAAGAAAAAGGTTCATTAGCGACCAATATTTAGCGGCGGTATATAAATCTGGTCGCTAAAAGTATACTTATAGCGACTAGTTTTATTTCTGGTACCTAATTCTAAATTAAATAATGACGGGACTGAATCTCGTCCCTATTATTATAAAATTCTTGTCCCTAATATGCAGAATAGGGCGGGAGTGCGAGACTTGAGGTGCCGCCCAAATTTTCTTCTAAAATTTTAATATTTTTATAAATATAAAGAGACAGAAACCTAGAAAAAGAAATAAAGAAATAGAAACACTTAAAAACATTCCCCAAGTCATCATTTAGGAACTAGGGTTTACTTCCCGTCTCTCAACATTTCTCTTAAAATTCCCAAACCCTCATCACTTTGACAACCAGTTCTGGTATTTCATCTAAATCTGTTCTTGATTTTATTGTTCAAAGTGACGATTTCCATCATCAATCTGTTCAAGACTATTTTACAGATTATTCAATTTTGCTAAGTTATTTTGGGTATTCTTTTCCATCACCAAATGAAGTCGGATATGTGCGATTGAGTTGGCATACTGTGATTCAACAAGTTATTTTTATGGCGAGGTCGTATCTCTAAGCCGTTTTGTAAAGAAGAGCTCACATGTTATTCATTTCAGCTTCCGCAGTGAAATGGGAAGGAGTTGTTTCATTGTGGTCCGAGGTGCTTCCAAGAGTATTAACTTGAAATTCGTAAGTTTTACTTCCCATAATTCTATTCTCTGTATCTGCTTCAGCTATGCTTGTATATGTGTGTGTTGACAATTTTATTTCTTGAATGCAAGATTTGATTATCTTTACAACTTTCTTAAGAGATGAAGTGTTCCAATCATCGGTTAGAGTTCCTTTCTTCCGCTCACTATTTTAGACTTGCTGGATTTTGTTGTTAATGCTTGTGGGTTTTGATTCATTTCATTTATGGGCGCAATGACTGATTTTTGGTATGTATTTTCATTGTTGCTCTTCATTTTGTTGATGGATACATGTTATCCACGTTTTTCCTAAAATTTGGTGTTTATTTTATAGTGCGCTTCTTAATATTATTATACCCATGTCAAATATTGCTACTAAACACTCCTTTACGTACTAAAAGGAAGCTTTAATTAACATGATTATTGTACTTTGTTACGAATTGATATTAGGTGAGGTGCTAAACTAAGCTTGCTAGTCTATGGTGATTATCAGGTTCATGTAGCTTCTTTTAAATATGAGTGATAATTATGTTTGCTAAAAGAAATTAAACTTGTGAACTTATTAGACAATGGCTATTTCAAGTGGTGGAAAAACTGTTTGCTGCTAGTGCTCTAGTAGATGGATTGAAGTTATAGAAAAAGTAAAGATTCATCCGCGCAAAGCCTTTGTGAAAATGATAGATTGAAATTGGTAATTTTAAAAATGTTGTTGTATGGTTTCAAGACATATTTTAAAGAAAATATTGAAATTTTAGGAAAATGTGGTATTAAAGTTGAACACCTTGAAAGAGATGTGTTTCTGGTTTCTCCACAAGGAGGTTACTTGAATAAGTGAATCAGTGTTGTACTTGTAGTTCTATAAGATTTTATGAAGATATTTGATCTTGGTGCAATGGTTGTTAAGGTTATCTATTGATAAAGGTGGCGGTTCATTTGTGAGGGATGTTTCACTCTTGAAATGATAGACTTTCTTCTTACAATCTGGATCAATTTTTAATTTTTCCTTGTTCTCTTTATCCACTTTTATTGATTTCATTGCTGGCTCTCAGTTTGTTTTTGCTACTCATGTAGGTACAATTTACTTTTGGACTGAAACTCAACCTTACACTCTATATCATGTCATAACCATTTAGTTGAAACTTTAGTCTTCTATTCTCTGCATCTCCGTGTCATACGTCACTCTGAAGTTCGCATGTATCTTCATGATATAATCTTATAACAATTTGGGATACATTTCTTAGGTTCTCAAATATGGTTTTATTTTTGTTGTAACACTGCAACGTTTCATGTAGTACATCTCAAACACTCATCTGGTTATGTACTCTTTTTACTTTTATGAACAATTTATACCCTTTGATATGGGAGTATCAACCAATAGAGTATTATCGACAAGGTGTGCATACCCAAAGCCATTTTCTCTTTATCTCTCACTTTTGTGTTTAGCAGCAAAATCAAAGCTCACTGTGTGAAAGCCGTATGCGGAAAAAGGTACAAGAAATTTTGCGTTTTAAAATTCAATTATATGGAAGATAAATTCCTTTTCTTGATTCTCTTCCCTTCTCTTTCCAGGAGTAAGTTGAGTAGCTGAAAACAATGCCATTTGAAGTTAGCACAACTTGAGCTGAAACTTGAGAGAGTTAGATAGCAGGTCCAGAAATTTCTTTCACAAATTCTTGTAAATATTATGTTTCTTTTACTTGTAAAAAAAATATCTATGTGTGCGCGCATTGATCATTAAGGAAGTGCTAATTATTTTCTCACAAGTTAATGGCTAATTTCAAGGACAACAAGTTTTAGGTTCAAGTATAGGATAATTGTCAATAGTTTATTTTTTATTTTTGCATCAGCAGATTTACCCTGATCTGTGTTGAGTGATCTGGAAATTTGCTACATTGAACTGATAGGAACATGAATCCCTCATAGTTTCTTGTTTATAGCAGAACCCAAAATATGATTATGATAATGGGAAAAGTTATAAGGCACTGATTTTGATTTTTTTTCTTAAATATTTCTGTGCCAGATATTCTCTAAAGGAAGATGTACTTTAAAAGTACAATTTGTTTGTTAGTAGTTTATATAACATAATGTTATTCGATCTTATAATTTGCATCCTATCTTTAAATGTATTAAATAATGAGGGCTGATTCTCATTAACGCTATATTATGGACTTTGGATGATTCTGATTAATGCTAATGTTGAACTTAATCTTTGTTTCTTAGGTCGCGTGACACTTACAACTTGGGGTGTAATATGGTAAATAATTATCTGATTGTCTCCCTCTAAGCCTATGGAACCAATTTTTATATAATAAGATGTAGTGCTCCTAGTCATTGATGAAACAAATGCACTTTTTGAGTCTCTTACAGTGTTTTAGTTGCAGACATGGCTATTTTGTGTTTTATTTCATAATGCAAGTTTCTTATATGACCAAAATATTGTTATATTGTAATTAGTTTGTGAAATAATGTAGGTCTCACAATTAGTTACCCAATCTTTCTGGTTGATTATTATAGTTTTTCTGAAGTGAATTCATTTCATACTTCTCATAGGGGTCTTGAAAACTTCAGTTTACAAGTGAAGATGTAGATTTTGGAGAATTCAAGTTGACAAGCTAATTATCAGTTGCCGAGAACTATAGACAACAATTCATTTTATTTGCAAATGATGTTAATTTGTTTTCTTCCCAAGGGGTGCGTAAATGATACAGTACAAATGGAATGAATCCTTTCTTTTGTTATTTTACAAATATATATATGAGCACATTGTTGATAAGTTTGACTACATGCATTCATTATATACATTATGAATGGAATATTATTTCGGAAAAGCACGACATAAAATACATTTGTTTAGGACAACATTTCATAAGATCTTTAAGGACCAGACATTTTCGTCCTCAAAGTCCTATTAGGACCTGTAAAATCTGGTCGTTGTAAATTAATAGGCACTAGATGCAACATCCAACATTATTTTTTATCATTCATTAGGGACCAGAAATGTGGTCCCTCAAAGTTTTTAAGGACCAAAATCACACCAGTCCTTAAAGGTTTTTAAGGACCGGTCACTAAATCTCGTCGTTATTGACCATTAGCGGCGGAGCCTCTAGCGACCAGAATCAAACTTTTAGGGACCATTATTCTTGTCCCTAAAGGCGATTTTCTTGTAGTGTAATCCAGGAGGTAACCGTTCTACAAGCGGGAGCAATCTTCGCTCCGATTTTCGTTCATAACATTCACATCCTTTAATTGTTTCAAACGTAATCAACTACCAGTAATTTCCTACCTTTTACTCTGTGACCGTTCAGATTTCTGCCTTGTGACACATCTGTAACGTTTCAAATTGACATTCACGACTTCGCATAAATTCATCCGATACTATCACACCCAAAAAGAACCCTCTTCGAAACATGCAAACATTTCGATAACAAGTCCATCGGTTTCATTCACCGTTGGATCCAGAACTACACACGACCTGATTCCCGTAATACCAGGGATATGTAAGAAACTCAGGAACCGGGGTTCGGCCTCCATTTTTTCAAATCACATCATTCCTTACTCAATTCGGCCAAATTGGTCATCATTTTCTTTTACCCGATAACTTTTTCATCATTCCCGGGTAAAGAGGAGCAGCTGTTGATACCCAATTTTGCCCTCATATTTTCTCAAATAGTATATATACTTTCAAAATATCATTTTTTGCATTATTATGCAGTTTACAAAATCTATACAAGCATTGTCTATAATTTTTCATAATTTTTAGAGCTTTAAAATCGATTTTCTTGCATTTAAATTACTGAAATATTTATTAATTATTCCTTAATTTTATTCTTGTGATGACCTAATCATCTAAAATTATTATTTGCATCTATAATACATGTTTCAAATATTTTTTACTTAATTATATTGTTATTCTTAGGCTAGTTGCACAATCTTGCAATAATAGCCTATATTTTGCATTTTTATTGCATTTATCATTTTATTCCGAGTCAAAATAATATTTTACATTTTTATAATATTTTACTATTGTTTTAAAGTATTAATTTTCATAAATAGTATTTCTATATATATTTATTTAGCTATTTTTATTAAATTATTTCTCTTTTAATCTCTTATTTAAAAGCTGGCCCAATCTTTTGAGCTATTTTTCGGACCAAACAAACCCAAATCCCTAGCCCAATCCTCAAGCCCAACCCCAAGCGACCCTGCCTAGTCCAAAATCTGACCCAACTCATTTTTACAGTGTTTCCTTGTTTGTTTGCTTGATTTCTACTACTATATAAACACCTCCCCATTCCCCTTTGAAACAGACATTTTTCACGAGTTTCACTAAAAACTAAAGGCTGTCACACTATTATTCTCTTATTCTCGTGTTCTATACTTTTTCACTTGGCCGGCTGAAAGCTAAGGCCACCGGAATTTGATTTTTCAATTTTTCTTAGTGCGAGCACTGCTCGGGGTTCGTTTGAAGCCTTTGGGAACTCTGACGCACTAGGATTCTGGGTTCTATTGCTCTTTGCTGATTTTCAGAGTATTGTGGAGTTTGTTCTTTCTTATTTGTCTATTTGTTAAGTGATAACTGGTAAGTTCCTTAGCTTTCGCAATGTTATTCTCCTGTGTTCATGATTTGCATATTCATACCTCAGAAATTTCAAAACCTAATGTGTTTCTAGACCATCTCTATGTGCAACCTTGTTAGCATTGAACTCGTTTTATGATTTGAACTTCTTTAGCGCTTGATTTTACCTAAATCTGCTAGTTTTGAGATATATTTATGCTTAACTTGAATAATTTTGGACTCTCTTAAGTTCGTTTAGCCTACTGTGTTGGTACCTGAATGTTTACATTTACTACGTGGCATGAGTTTGCTTCCCTGCTTTGTTCTGGGTTCCTGTAATGACTGACTCGTATCTATAATGTGTCATAATCTATGACCTTCACTCTAGCTATGACCTGCTCCCATACTATTTTGTCACTCATTATATCTTCGGTTTGCCTAATCCTGTACCCCCTGGTGATTAGTTGGGACCTTTAGAGTAGCCATCTTAACGTGTGATTCCTTATAATGTTTGATACTGTTTTGTCTTAGTGATATAAGTTGGCATGTCTACTTTCTAGTTTGTGATGGATATTCAACATAATTTGGACCCCTAGGCTTTAAATTATTTAAGTTAGTGCTCTACTTTAGATTCGTTTGGCATTGTGCACCATTGTATGTTAATCTTGTAGTCCCAGAAAACCTAATTCCCCTTCTTCTTACAAAATGTTTACTGCCCAATATGCTCAGTGTTTGAACTTGTGATATCAACCTGTCCATTGAGTTTTTTGCTGATTCTCTTTGCTTGTATGTTCTTTGTTCAATCACCCCTGCTATGTCTGCTTCTAAAATATAAGTGCACCTCTTCAAACTCTATCACTTGATCACTGTCATCTCACTCTCATTTGTTACGTACACTACTCTGAATCTATCAATCTGGGCCAGCTGAAAGCCAAGGCCACCAAAACTCTCTCTATTGACCTCCCTAGTGTGAGCACTGCTCGGGGCCCATTTGAGACCCTTGTGAACTCTGACACACTAGGATTTGGGGTTCTTTGATCACTTTTATTGCTGATGGAACTTGAGCTATCTTTGGCATTTAGCTTTACTTGCTCACATTATTGGTATAATCTGCAAACTGGGTTGTGTAAGTGATTTCTGTGTAATTCAATATTTGGGTCATATGGGCAATTTGTGACTGTTTGGTTTGGCTTGAGTTCCTCTATGATTTTTGGGCTGTGCTGATGGGCATAGTCCCCTGTTCGGATCTGGGCATGCTATTTGCGAAGAAGGGGTTTGTTGAAGGCCCAAGCAATACTGGGTATCTCCTTTGGGCCTGCTGCAAGCCTGCTATAATTTCTTGTGTAATATCTGCACTTATATTCCTCATCCGGTCTATAATAATTTTTTAATAAACAATCGGGGTGTTAGTGAAATTGGGAAAACTGTATATTCTTATGTTTGCATGAAAGGGTAGAAAACATGCCTATAAGATTCGTATGATTTACTTATTATTTTATCCAATCTGCCATATGTGCTATTTAAATATCCATGTACACTAGTATAAATCATGCCATTAGGGGAATCACACACTCACACAACTTGTTTACTATCAAAGTATGAGCGTAAATACTCTATTTATTCCCATGTCTACTACTATATGTCACTAGACATCATGCCTATAGGAAACAAATGCCAATAACCATCCTTCAATTTGCATAACGGCAACATGTTCATTAGATACCATGCCTATAGGATTATACTAGCTTATGCTCTACTCGTCCTCATTTAGATATCATGTCCATAGGTTCTTAATTGATTCATCAGTTACTGTTATATCTATTGCTCGCCTAGAAAACATGCCTATAGGGACGTAGTGTTACAAAATCAGTTTTCAACTGCCAACTATTAGAACCTATCTATAAAATACTGCTACTCGCTTAGAAAGCATGACAATAGGATGAAATACGAGTAATTTTGAGTATTCCCAATGGTTTTCATTCCCCCTATCGCGTAAATCACTTAGAGACCATGTCTATAGGTTTTAATAACTTATAATCTGTAATTTTAATAAACAGCATAACAAGACCTGATACTCTTAAACTGAGTAGTCGTTTAGAAACCATGTCTATAGAGCTTAATGACTTCAATTTGCCTCAATTCTGAAACTATCTAGTACCTAACGTAGAAATCTGTTTGCGTGCATTTATTGTCTAAGTGTGGAGGCTAACTTGAGCCTTTAATTGTCCTTAAGTGAAGTCCTATTTGTTTTGAATGTCGCTTAGTTTTTTCATTTTAAGAAGCCTAAGTAAAGTCTAGAACCACCCAAATAGAGGTCCAATGTCTCCTGGACCATAGGCATGGGACAGGTAGTGCACACATAGGACGCGACCTGGAATTGAATTAGAACGTTCTAAGTAAACAACTTCAACATAGTAATCGGGTAGCAGGAGATAATAGTCTGTGCCCGCTGAATAATATGAGTAACTCCTATCTAAAAGGAGTTACGAAGTATTATTTTATGTTGCACGGGGTGATCCTTTAGGCTAAAAATCTTAGGACCCCCTTTCTCTTTATACACTTAAGTCATCTAATATAGACCGTTATAGTTGTATCCTTGTAGTCCTTAAGATTTGTACCAATTCTCATTGTGTTATAATGAAACTCTTTGACCTTTTATTCTATTTGTTTATTTAATCATCTTGCCTAATTATAATCCACATAGTCTTAAGTCCGATTGGGACCCACAGTTGTGGACCTCAAAGAGTGCCTAACACCTTCTCTTTGAGGTAATTTGAGCCCTTACCCGATCTTCGGTGGCGCTGACTAGTCAAATAGAGTTATCTATACAATAGGTGCCCTAATGCGCCTTAAAAATCGTTAGGTGGTGACTATTATCTTTTAACACTTTACCTCCTACTCAAAAGCGTTGTCGTAATGTCGAAGCCCGCTTTCGCGAGAAAATGGGACGCGACAAATCTCCCCTAATATTTTCAACCAATAACAACAACAATATTTCCTTGGCTCTTTTGTCTATACACAAGATTCTTTATTCAAGGCACGGTAGCCGTATTTAATATTTCACACTTTTATTCCTTCCCTCTCATGTATCATCATCATAAATATCAACATATATACTATTCCAGAAATCACAATTTTAAGTTCATTAGAAATGAACAATTTAAGCACAATAGATTCCCTTCCGAGAAATGGAGTACAATAATTGGCAATTGATGCGCAAGTTAAAA